CTACTTCCAAAACAGATTGCAAAATAATTTAAAAGGAATGCAAAAGGGATTTTTTTTTTTTTTTTTTTTTTTTTTTTTTTGTTATATCTGTATATATGTAGGTATATGGAGCCACTATAACATATAGTTCTGTTCCTCGTATTTTTATCGCAGTCGGCTACTGCAAAAGCGCATATATATATATACTATAGCGCTATACTTTTGCTGTAGCCGTTATATATAACACTTTAAATAAGTTTATTGTACTTAAATCCTGCAGCTATAGCGTAGGACAGGTATAAAAATTTTGTTTTTAATTTTTAGCCTCATATTAGTTTTCTTTATGTATTTTTATATGTATATAAATACATAACAAAACCTAAATATATATATATATATGTATATATGTTACGGTGAAACACCGAAAGCTGGAGAATGTCGACTTTCACCGGTGAATGTCAACATTCACATAGTCTCTTGGTGTATGTCCGAAATATTTTCCAAATACTCTTATTTCTGACTTACACTGGTCAATGTCGACATTCACCATGTACTAATGGTGAATGTTGAACATATAACAATATTATATTTTCTTCTCCGTAATTCAGTCGCGACTAAACGCACTTGAGACTTGAAATAAGAACTTAAGAACATGAGAACCTAAAACACAATACATTCAAAATGAGAAAGGAAAATAATAGAAGTTATAAACTTACTTAATTTTACAGTACGTTCTAAATGAGAAAATAAAATAACAATAATAAAAAACTTACTAAATTATGTGATTCAAATCTTATTTATTGCAACAACTTAAACTATTATGGCACTTTATGACCTCTCTTTTCGACTTTCACCAGAGCATATCTGTGATTGTCGACATACACCGGTGAGGGTCCGAATATACAAGAATGTAGTGAAATATTCGGTCTTTCACCGACGTATTTGGTGAATGTTGATATTCTCCGGTGAAAGTCGACATTCTCCAATTTCGGTCTTTCACGGTAACATATATATATACACACCCAATCCTCTTCCCCGGCTTAAAGACCTTCTCCGTCCTTTATTTTCGCAATCGTTGGTCGTAATCACATAATTCCATTCATAGAGGTGTTTTAAATGACGAAAATATTCATGGTTCGGCAATTCCAGATTAAAAAAAAAACTAATTTTGGGTAAATAAGGAAATCCAATTTTTAATACTGCCTCCCGGTTCCTGCACTATATTTGAGAAAGTTTCATACTAGTTATAAAAAGTTAAAAATAGAAGAAGTTTGATTGAAATCTCTCGAGAAAATTTGACAGAAATATTTAATTTTAAGGTTTGCAATTTTTATGTAATTTTCCAATTGCCTTAAGGGATTGGCTAATTAAGTTAGACTAATTCGAGGAAATAAGCTACTCGGTAAAAATGTCCCTCGGTGCTACTCGGTGTCAATATCAGCAAAAAATGTATATAATTTAATAGGCCGTACATGAAGTCATGTGATGTCAACATCCCATTTTTTTCAAGTTATATATATCTCCTAAGTATTACAGAAATATCTGTTAGTGAAGAAAAAGCGACAAAGCATGTGCCTTTCAGTCATATTATACACGGGTGGACCAACAATATTATCCAATTACCGGTGTTCAGTTGTCTTATTCATTCGTCCACTTATAGGCAGGATATAAAAATAGTTAAAAGGAGCTAACTGTATAACTGCCAATATTCGTTTTCATCTATGAGTATATTCACTCACAATTAAAATTCTAATTCGTTAGATCACACAGTATAGTTTTAAGTGGAGTCGTCAACGTAGTGATTGTTTTCCTGTTCCTAACAAAGAGCTCTAATTGCTTACGGATGATATGAGGCCTGGAGAGGAGGTATAAGAACGGGCGAAATTCAAGTTACAAGGAAATAGAAATGAAGATATCTTATTAGATACTTAATTCTAGTATTGCTATGTATTCTTATTAGAATGTGGGATTCTTATAAAGAAATAAAATTATGTTAGTTACTAGTAGTTTAACCATTATACCTTTTATTTATTATATTCTTACAGTAACAACGTCCTTTCGAAATTAAATTATTCGTATACTTTTCCTTTAATTTTTGGAAGGTAAAATTAGTTTACAAAAATCTGATGTGTACACCACATGACTTCCTTGTACACAATATTAAATTATACGCATTTTTTCTTGCGTTTCATTTAAACTTATTGGGTTGAATTAAGTGTACTTCGTCGATAGCGCATAAACCACAGTAGAATAAACGCACTCTTTAAAAATCACTATATTTGTTTACCATAGCGACACTCTGGCGCTCGGTTCACTTAACAGTGTTATATTTCGTTCATATTATAACTCAGAATGCATACAATTTGTATCATTTGAAGAATTATCTAATCGTTGCCAAATGACCTATTCAAATACTATAATAAATCTAGAACGATGTATAAAAGAAATTAAGCAAACAAAACAAAAAAGAAACAGTTTCTCACAGACGATTCAGTATTTCTCACTCAATTAATTCAGTTCTCACATCGCGACAAGGCAAAACTACATAAAAACTCAAAATATCTATATTAAAAATTACGAAGTAATAAATCTTAAACACTTATTTCCTCGAAAAATATCCAGAAAGGATTAAGCATGATTTAATTGGCAATAATAAATAAAGGCGTTATCTTTGTTGTTGCGAAGCTAAGATTCTCTAGATTGGCAAAAAATCCACTAGTCTGCTGTTTCAAATGTAAACAATCAATGGCCGCCATAGAAAAAAGGTTTAGCGGCACTTAAACAACTTTAAAATTGTTTATAATTCTAAAAATATTGCATACAGATTTACTAAAGGCATAAAAACCTTAACCGGAAGATAAGAACAACATAATTCAATCATTTTTAAAGCAAAAAATGTACAATTTTCAAACGTATAAGAGTAAAGAAACTGAGATCACCAAAACAAAAATATCTGATCACTGATTGCAACCAAAATACGAGGTACACATCCCACACGTTATAGCAGCCCTATATACAAAATTTCAATGTTCTGAGGCTTATCGTTTTTTTGAGTTATGCGAGATACATAGATACGTACGTACAGACACTAAGAAAAATTCTCTTCAGAATTCATTTTAAAGCAGTTTTATAATTTTTTTTTTTTTGAGGAAAATTCTGTCCTTACGTACAGATGTTACGGAAAAACATCATTAAATTGCATTCGACAGCGGTCAAAATGGATATTTTCTTTGAAATATGCTACCTGAAACTTTTCGCGATTACAATACTTCCTCTTTACTTCGTACAAGGAAGTAAAAATGGGATTTGGGCACCACTTGATGTATGTACTATTATTAAATTATATTCACTTTTTGCTCCACTTCATTTAAACTTATTTAGTCGAATTATTCTAAATTAATTAACCGGTACCTCAATGCAAGTTAAAAATGACATCAAAAATTGCAAATTTGAAATTAAATATCCTAGTCAAGTTTTGTCACATGGGAGTTAAACTTCTCGTTCTTTTATTTTTTCATAACGAGTGTTAAACTTTTAGAACTATAAGTATAGGAACCGGGAGACTATATTTTAAAAGTTAGATTTTAGTTGACCAAAATTAATTATTTTTATTTAAATCTTAAATTGCCAAAACAGGAATATTTTAGACATTTAAACACTTTTGTAACTGGAAGTATATGAGTAGAATTTACAGTTGCGAAAATAAAAACCAGGTAAGACAGGATATACACATTTGGGTTTGCCGATTACAATAAAAAAATGAGATTTACACTAGATAGTACAGCAAACTCATATACAAATTTAAACGTTCTATGGCTAATTGCTTTTCAGCTATGTGAGATAAATACCTACAGACGTCTCAAAAATTCTCTTTTGAATCCATCTTAAATTATACTTCACAATCCTTTTTGGAAAAAAGGAGTTCTTTATTCTGTTCGTAATCCAAATGAATTCAAGAAGGGTCAAAATGGATATTTCCGTTGAAATATAACATTCGAGATTTTTCGTAATTACAATACTTCTGTTACGTGTGCAAAGAAGTAAAAAACGTTTTGGCCCGTCAGCTGTTGTCAAGATCGGCATTCGGGCAGTATGCAATTTGAGTTTGAGATCACTGATGTAAACATCAACTTGACATTTTCCAACGAGCGTTTCGAAGCGTCTATGGCATGCTTCGATTCAGTTCTATGCTCTTGGAATACGAAGATTTACTCGATCGAATACGGATCAGAAATCCAAATGAAATAAAAAAGGGACTTCGAACAATCTTTCCATTTCTAATATTCCGCCTATTTTTTACCATGCACGTAATTATTCTCGAACCACTGTACGACTACAGTACTGCTTTATCGGGAGTAAGACGCTTTTTCTCATCAAATGCAAAAGGAATATCACGAGATAGAAGAAAAATAGGAACTAGAATATGTTGAAGTTTCAAACTAAAATCTATAAAAAAAAGGGGGAAAGGATTTCTTCAGAAATATAAAGCAGGAATAAGCTATTTACAAATTAAATACGAGTAACTGCACACACATGTATATATAATTATTTAGAGTAATTTTAATTTTTGTGAAATATAACCTGCCATCTATAGTGGCAGACAAATATAACCTGTCCGGCAAACGTATCCATCGGGCAACTGAATTGTAGTGCAAGTGAGTGTCGGGCAAACGACCGGATACGGTCAACATGAAACTTTTCGAAAAAGCATAAAAAACATGTATGCATTTGAAAAGTAGACTTTCGGCGAATCTCTCGTTAAGCGTACTCGCAGTATCAGAGTATCAGAGTATTTCTGCTATCAGGAAGTAGCCGCAGTTAAATAGGAGTGTGCTGGTCTTTAACTTCGAAGTTCTAGAGTTTCAAGGGCTGTGGGATAATAGTGAATACCTGTCAAAGTAGTGTCCATTAACGTACGGTTGATGACATTCAACATGCATGGAATATTTTGAAGAGAAATTTAATTTTCATGGTAAGTTGTACAATAAATTCATGAATGCAATTTGTAAAGGAATACAAAGTCTGTTTTTTTAATAATTTTATTGATAAACAACAGTTTACAAAAAATATGTTCACATATATAATTTACATAAATACAAATAGTTGATATATACAATGAAAATAAATATTTGTTACATTGGCTTCTAGCGTCAGGCCTAATGCCATACATTTATTTCTTCGATTTCCGCTCATATATAGTATTCATATGTCCATTCGTTTTTAAATTAAAGCATTTATATTATTTAGGTTTTCAAATTCTGAATATTTTCAAGTCCCACCGAATCTGTAAGGGATTTTTAATGGTATGTAACTGTTCCTACTGTTAATGAAATAATGAATATTAGTAGCTGAATTGAAATATTAATCCGTTACTTTACGGATTTTCAAATTGAAGGATGAATTATAAAATTAAAATTCCAAATAATAGATAGAATATTAAGAAATAAAAATGAAACATTTGATATCAGAACTAAGAAGTAGAATTAAAATCCGAAGTTACTTATGCAAGTTTTTTACGGGATTAGATTTTGAGATCCACTCAAAGGGTTTTAAGAACCCATCACTCTAACTCCTTATTCCCTAGTTATGAAGTAAAATATATTTTGATAATGAAAATAGGAACTATTGACTATGAAGCAATAAAATGTTTTAAATGAAAGTTTTCCTTCATGAATGTAATTGCTTTCCCTAGTGTCAGCACACAATGTTATTAACTGACATTAAAATATACTTATAAGTCAAGATAATAAAATGATTTTTTTAGACTTTTAAAACACATACTGAATTAACATCAGAATTGAATTTTCATCAGAAACAATACTTATAACACGTGATTCTAAAATCAAAAAATGGTTAAAATTTTGTAATTTTTAGCAGTTGCCTTCCATTAGTGAAGAAATATTATCTAATCATCAAAAATAAAACATTTATGTTATTACGAAATTAAGGTAAGACATCTAGAGTAATTTAAAACAAATGTGTAAAATAGTTGAAAAAAGGTTTAAAAACTAGATTTATTTTTTCTGTATATTTAAGTAAAAAGACTGTAGTAAGAATATGAGGAGTAACATGAAATCCAATATACAGCTATCCCTCCTATAACACTGCAGATACGTTCCTGGAAAATACTGAATTGTGTGAAACTGTGTTATGGGAGACTAATATAAAATAGAGGAATGCGTTTCGAAAACTTTAAAAAAAAATATTTTTTAATTGTTTTCAATGTTTCCTCCTTAAATTTAGACTTTCTGTAACATCGGATGTCTTTTCTTCTTTTAGCAAAGTATTCAAAATATTCTATATTCGTTTTCGTAAGTTTTCTTTTAAAAATTGTTTTCTTACTTTCAGGAATAGTTTGGGACTTTCGCAATACTTACTCCTGAAAACGGCAAACCTAATAAGGAACACATACTCGAACATATTTTTATGAAAATTTTCAGTTATCGCAATTACGTAATTTATGCAGTCTACCAACCGAAAGTGTGGAAGAGAATATATGTACTGCGTACATAATGGACACGTCTTCTATTTCGAAAGATGTAGGAAAGTGCGAGTATTCCCAAAATTTATTTTATTTGTGTGTGTATATATGTAAATAGGTTATTATTCTGTACTATACACGATGGCAAAGTGAGTAACACAATTCTGTAAGTGTTTAGAATAAAAATCCTGCTATCAAAATATGTACATACATAAAGTGTTATAAGAAGGCTTACGCATATTCACTAACGTGCTAGTATAAAACCGTGTTGCCGTACTATGAGAGGGTTTTTGCAATTTTGTTCTCCTATAAAAACAAACCTATGCTTTAAGAGGGACACCTGTAGCAGTAATTACATGCTTTGAAATTTTTAAAAATGTTCGGTAATTAGTTTGGATAATTACCTAATCCGAATAAAAATTTGCTACAGAAGTTTATTTCCAGTCGTTTGTGTTAAGGTTACCTTATAAAGACTTCGTTTCTTTTTTCTTTTTGGTACACTTCATCTTGTATTTAATTTCCAATTCGTTTCTCAACAAGGAAAATTTAAGCAGTAAACTAATTCTTTGATGGTATTTTTTAACTTTGATATTTTGCGTTAAACTCTTCCTGCTTAGCTCCCTCAGCTATGTTAAAAATCTCTTCTGTCGTATCAATAACAGATTTTTCTCTCTGGAGTTTTTAACCATATATAGGTTTTCCGATAGGCTTAGCTCCAACTGGACCGAAATAGAAATTGTTGCCTAATTCAACTCCAAACATAACTTTACCTCCTGCGCTTAAGACATTCATAATTCTTGGGAGCAATGTAAGAATGTTACCAACTGAAATAACATTCGGAGGCTTATTACCACCAATATTTATAGCGATTTCTTTAGGGCGACTTCCATATCCCCCTGACTGGTATGTATTGCCGAGGCCAATACCACCGTATCCACCATCACGCTGCAAGACAGCTTGCGGGAGATTTTGTTGCTGGATGACGTTGTCTTGGTAAATGACATCAGCAGATCGAGGAGCTTGTTGCTGTTGTTGCAGCTGTAGAAGCTGTTGCTGCTGTAGTTGCTGCAATTGTTGCTGCTGTCGTAACTGTTGTTGTTGTAACTGCTGTTGCTGCAGCTGGTGTTGTTGCTGCACATTTAAGGGTTGTTGAGCTTGTTGCAGTTGTTGCTGGCCTGCATTAGCTTGTTGTGGTGCTTGACGACCCATGAAATAGCTCATAAAATCAAATCCATTATCTTGCCTTCGTTGTACACTGATGTTATGACTGCTGTTGATATTAGACTCGTCTTTTAATTGTTGTTTATTCTGCTCCTATAAATAAAAATATTAATTATATAAGTAAGATGTCTAAATCGGGAAATTAATAATATAAATCTCGTTACCACTAAGAGAATTTAATACATTTTAAGGACGATCTTGCTGTGAAGTTAAAAATAATGTGTAAGGTTCTCGTTAATAAAAAGATATCAACTATTTCGCTAATTTAATCAAAACAGTAAGCATAACTATTTGTCTTAGAGAATCGTTATGCGTCAAGTTCAGAAAACATTGAAACGTTAAGTGCTTTTAAATCAATTGTTTGCGATTCACAGCTAAACCACAAAACTGTTCTCCTGCCTTCAACGTAATTATTTTTTTCTTAGAATATCTTTCAATCTACACTTTTTTAGACTATGACTTTACTAATTTATAGCATATGAATTTTTGCTACTGCATTCAATTTTCAAAATTCATTTTATGGAAATATATTTTAAGATTCACCGATAAACGAATAAATAAAAATACTAAAAACTGCCACTTGGGCTAGACTTAAATCCCGATTAAAAACTGGCTGAAGGGTTATTATCTCGGAATTTTCCAGTAGAAAACGTGAATATATGTCTAGCATATGCAATCAGAAATGATATCTGATAATCCTATTACGATATAACTCGTAAATCAATTACCGTTTTAAAAGTTTTTCGCGAAATATCAGATGAAAACAGAATACAGATTTTAAAAAAAATATCCGAAAGCTTTCAGATTTTATATTAAGCCTAAAGGGACTTTTTTAACGTTTTGTGTGTTACCTTTATTTATTAAATATCATGTTCGTCGCACATAAATTCATAAAATCCTCGCACCATAAAATTCAATTCAACAGCAATGTCACAAAATATTTAAAAAGAGCGTATCTTTAGAATTTCCGATAGGCAGTCTCGCGCGCTGGAGATAAAAAGTTTTCCGTATCGTGTTGCCATGTTGCTATTGCTCGCTTTGAAATCGTTGAGTTTGTTAATAAAAACTCGTAAATTTTACAAAATATGAAATATATAATAAAACAAATTCGAAGTTCAAATTCTAGCTTCCAGGTGCTCATATTCGTGTAAAAGATTACGTTATTCAAAATGTGATGGCTCTAGATACCGTAGTTTTTTTCACAATGCAAAAAACAAACATACATACATTGATGCAGATTCTTTATTATTTAATTTCTTTAAATATAATACAGGGCGATAATATTTCGAGGAAAGGAAAAGAAAATATTTTTATATGAGCTACAAGCATTTTCTGGAAAGGAATTTTATCTTATACATAATGGACTTATCAGAACAACGTTGCATCGTTGCATGACCGTTTTGCCAATTATTTCCATGTAAGAGAAAAAATTACCCTTTGCATTATTTTTCGTTATTTATATAGCTTAAATATATCAGAAAATCAATCAGCTTACGACATATGCTTTTGAATTTATGGTTAGTTTTTACTATATCCCATCATTAAAGAATAGTTTTTACAAACCATTTTTTACTGTCAATGAATTGCATAGTGACTCTTGAAGGCATTAGAGCATAAGAAACTTTCAAACAAAAGTATTTTTAAGATATTTAAAATACCTTTATATATTGAATGTATTACTTAAATACTATAATACACTTTGAATCATACTTTGTACTTTTAGTTAGCGTCTGAAACTTCATTTATAGCTGATAAAAAATTAGTTTAAAATTTATTTGTAAAATATTTAAAAATATTTTTATGTTTTGAATATTTTAGTACTATTGATCAGTTTTTATAAAAATGCTTGAGAAAATTTTTTATTTTAACATTTTAAAATACTTAATATTGCTGCGTTTTCGTTGTTGCATTACGTTAAGAATTCTAAATGTAATTCAAATTCCTTTTCTTGAAAAACATATACAGTAGCTCACAAAAGTGTTCGTACACTTACTAGTTTCAGTGAAATATTGGTTTATTCATTGATAAAAATGAATATTTCAGAATGAGAAGTTTTTGATAATATCTATAAATTTCTTTTAGCAAAACTACATAAATTTATTTATGAACATATTAAAACATTTTTTCGTGGGAAAATCAATAATAATAAAGTAAGAGAAAAGTTACCTCACAAAAGTCTTCATAAGCTTTAAAGAAATCTACACATATTATTAAATATTTTATTTCTGTCAGTTAGTATTTTGTAGTATATACTACAGTATGTATGACAGCTTTCAAACGTCTGGGCATAGAGTTCACCAACTTTTTTTGTAATATCTGCATCAGTGTTCCTCTATTCTTCCATAATTACAGATTTTTGTTCGATTTTTGTTTTAATGTTGTGTCTTCGCACTCTAATTTTCTCCAGATGTGTTCAGTTGGGTTTAAAGCTTGTGGCTGTAGTGACGTTTTCAGAACTTGTGGACAATTATAGACATCCAAAAGGCGAACGTTGAAGGGCGCGTGCTATTAGAATCGTTATCCTGATAAAAAATAAGGTTGTTTCCAGTATCCAAATTTTGAACGGATAATTTAAAATTATCTTGTAAAATATTTAAATAAAGAGCAAGGTTCATTGTGGCCTCAATAAATGCCAAATCATTTAATGACATGCACCCTCAGACAAGACCATCTCCACGGTCATGCTTTACTGTACCAACCAAGATCTTGTGATTAGGCTCCTTATTTTTTTCTCCATACAATTATACGCCCATAGGAATAAAACGTGTTAAATCTGCTTTCAAATCTGAAAATAAGAAATGATTTTAATACGCTTCGGGTTTATTTACCATTGATTTTGAGATGAAAAGCCTAAGCTATCTATTTTTTACACTTCCAAAATTTTTTCTTCGAGCAGAGATCCTATGTAATCCAGGTTATCTGAGTACTCGTCGAACAGATTTAAGTGAAATTGAAGCAGGCAAGTTTTCTACAGAATTCATTGAAAACTTTTCAGTGAAAAAAAAGAAAAAGTTTTCAGTGAATTCTGTAGAAAACTTTAAAACACTTAAACGTGGATTTTTACAGATTTTCTAACTATAAATCTTTGATCATGTTGAGTTACGCCGAGTCCTCTTTGCCAGACAACCTCTTCTTTATTTTGAATCCGAGTTTCTTCTTTAGAGCATCTTATCACACACTGTACCATAGAATGAAATAAATTTAATAATTTAGCGATATCCCGAATCGAATTTCTATCCTTATGATAAAAATGGATGAATTTTCGAACACTATTCGCTGTTTCCTTACGACTACAAGCCATCTTTAAACATTAAATAAAATATAACGATGTAAGCAAGCAAAATATAAAGCCAACCAAACAATTTTTTAAACGTTACCAAAATTCAAAAATAAAAAAAATTCAAAAATAAATATACGATAATTTTATTTATAAAATAATTATAATATATTTAGACGATAATTTTTATTTATAAAATTTAACGAAAATATTTCGGTGTACAACCACATTTGTGGCGTGTTTTATCTATGCCTACTTAATTTTCAATTTCATAAAAAGAAAATAAGCCAGTATTAAAAATTAAAAACTTTGGCTTTATTCAGTAATTCATTATAAGTCACATGGAGATGATATGGAAAAATATTGGGCTTTATATTCGAATTTAATTCCGGGTTACAGCGCTTTTTCTGCAAATTCTTAAAGTGTGCCAAAACTTTTGTGAGAGACTGTACTTAAAATAGTACACATAGATAACAGTTTAAATAACATAAAAAATCTAGAATCTTCTGATTTATTCAAGAGATAAAAAGAGAAATAAATGGATATTATTCAATAAGGAAACTATAAAAGCATTTGCCTTATTTTTATAAAAAGAAATTGACATAATTTAAAACAACGCTCCAGATACTCACATGTTTGTCGATAGCTTTTCTGTCTGCCTTAACAGTTTGAAGTAACATAAAAATGGCTGAAAAGGAAAACGAAAATGTAAGAATATAAATATAATAAAAAACGCTTAGTGCATTGCTTTCTTTTGTAGTTCCATCTTTTATAAAGTAAGATGTAGTAAATTAAAAAAACACCAAGTTTATAATGAATCGTTTCGAATTACATTAAAATTTCAAAACCAAACTTGAACATATCGATTATTGCAAAAAACATTAATTGAATCGAATTACGTTAAATTTAATGTTACTAAAATTGAACTAAATAAGGTTCATATTTCAGTGCAACAACACCTTGGCGACATTGTTAAATCCTTTATCATTTTAAGCAGAAGAATTAATTAGAATGTACTTAAAGTATGAATGGAAATCACTTCGCTAATGAAATATATCAGTTTGGTTAAAATAATAAATTTAATTTTTGGCAGTATTTGAAATGTTTATAGAAGAGTGCTTCAACAAGTATCAGGAATTTTACACAAAATCAGAAAACATTAATCTCAATAGTTTCCAAAATATTATATATATATAAGTATATATAACTTATTTACTCAGGGACTATTTAGTATATTAGCTTCTTTGATAAAGGTAGTTAAAATTCTATTGAAATGAAGTAAATTATAAGCACATTTTAAAAACTAATCTTGAAAAATTTTAAATGGAAACATCAAAAATGGATAAAAAAATAAATTGAAAATGGAAACTTTTAAAAAGGCATAATTAAAATTGAAAATATAATCAATAAACCAAGTAATTATTGTCGTGCATAGAAGATAATCATCTTCTCCTATAAAAACTTTTTCTGGAGTTGGGAAATAGGTTCCTAATTTTTGCTTAATCTTTTTGCTCTTTCGACATGTTTATTCACAAAGTTTATACTAACTGTTCACACTCACAAATACCAGATCAAAGTCTGAAAATACTAGAAAATATCAAAATGTTTAGTTTAATTATTTTTTGTTTTGAAGCTGTATATGACAAAGATTTGTAAAGCAATTTAAAATAGAATCCTAATTTTTGAAACTTTTATTTAGGAAAACAGGTGAAATGTTATTTTTGTACATGCAAAATTGTAAATTTTAAGATTCGAGTATTATAATCAACTGGGCATTATAAGCCTTGTTTCTATGATCCAATTTTATTATTTGCATCCTGACAACAGGTTTGATGTTAATTTTAAGATATTATGAGAAGAGAGAGCTTCAAGGCAAAAGTTGCCTAATTTAGTTATTGTTTACATTAGTCGTTATTTATTGTTACTTTAATTATTATTTCCAACTTGAACAGTGACATCAACCTCTTGCTTAATATAACTCAGAAAGGCGAGGTGAAAAAAATATCGAATAAAAACGAAGAGCTGAGATGAATTTATGTTTGTGGGATGGACGAACTCAGCTGACCAATAATGTTTTGAAAAATGAGAGTAATCAAAAGTAATGTGGGAGAGATTACTGAGCAGTCAAGATTTTAGTTTTCTCCTTGCGCTCAATTAGTTAACATAAATATTGAACAGCACACAAGTACGGCCCACCAGCGGTCGAGCGGTAAAATCACTAAAAACTGGTAGTTCGTTCCGGGTTCACATCCCGAGAAACGGGCTGGCTGCATGATGGCTTTCGTGACTGTAACGTTTATGCGAGCGAGTTTTCCTTAAAACTTCCTTCATAAAGGCCTCCCTCCCTTTAGGCAGATAGCCATGGAGTGCTTTCCCGTAATTAAGTACACCACCACAGCCAGCACACAAGTACATTGGCTGGTCATTTTAATTGAAAGCCTTATTCGATTCTTTAAACAACTGGAGAATTACTAATACATAATAAAAAGTAAAATCGAAGCGTTGTGTATAATATGTAGAACTTCATGTGGCGATGAAACCTAATGGCTGCATTGTACTTAAAAGCTTTTCATTTTGCGTAAATAATATTACAGATACAGCTCAAATCAACCGTACGTTTAATCTCCATCTTATTTCCTTTCCTCATTTTACAGATGTGTTGCCTTTAATGTCTTGGAAAATTAAATAGTTCGGAAAATGAAAATATCAATATAAATCTGCTTTATCTTGCGGCTTAAAAAGCGTCAAAAAACGCATTTAAATATCGTCTAAATTTCAACCGTAACGGTACGTTGCATAAATGCCGTTATATGAATCTTCGTCTCGTTTGGGGAAGCGAATATTCCATTGAACATAACTCATTTATTTGTTAATACTATTTTAATTTTTAGAACTGAAAGTAGTTCACGTCTAGATTTGGAGGAAACTGAATGTTGAGAAAAAATCATGCGTTCACTTGGAAAATAAAATGGATGCTTGAATGATTTGAAGAGTTCTTGTTACAATGTACATAAGGTAAATGAAAAAAAGGGAAAGTTTCACTTATAAAATGATTCATTCTCTGCAAATAACTTCTTAGCAACAAATGATATGCATTTTTGTCAGTAGAAATAGATGCTGCCATTAAGGAAAACTTGTATTCGTTTCCAACAAGTAAGAAGTAGGTAATAGTTCTGAAGATAGCAATAATTTCGTTAAGAATTACGGTATCAGAGCAATTATTTTTTTAACCAAGACCTGATACATATATTCATAGCATTTTTTATCGGCAGTTTTCTGTAAGGTGTTAGAAAAAACACAAAACAAAATTCTGTTTAAAATCACCCGAAATTCGAACACTTTCACGGAGGGTATTAAGACTGAAACCAATAATTTCAGTAGGCGATGATGAATGGTCACAAATGTTTTGGTAACATTAATCGAATGAAAACACTGAACGACGAGGGAAAAAATGACTTTACAGAAACTACTTTATATAAAATTAGTAATTTTATTGTATTGAAATTGTATTGAATTTATAGTATTGAAAATCAGAGTATTTTCGATTATCCGAGCTAATACCGGGGAAGCAAGTTGCGAAAAATCGAAACACATGGATAATCCAAACTAACAAATTTCGTACATCTTGTGCATGTTTATTTCTTTAAAAAATCAGTAATTTGTTTTTCAGAAAATTAAAATATTTGTCCAATTTCTCTGCCTGTTTTTCGAGAAGTGCTATTTTCTCTTTGTATTCGAATTGCCTTTGGTCAACGAAATACAACAGGGTTTCAACAAAAGTCATTGCTGTTTCGGAAATAATGCAAATGTCAGTATTTTCTTTGCTTATACTTTCAGTATCATACTCCGGCTCTTCTGATCCTGTGACATTTGAAATTACATCCACATTACTGAAGCACTGAATGCCCGGTGCAATCGAATCACCACCTAACCAGATGTTTTTCCGATCGACATTTTCAATTTTTCTTTTTATCCCAAAAGGCTATTAATTTCTTTTAGGCATTTTATGCCGAAACATTTAAATGACTGAATCACTTTTAAAATTGTTGTCACCAAATATTATTACCCTGTAATTAAATTTAAAGAAATTAAATAATGAAGAATCTGCATAAATGTATGTATATTTCTCGCATTGTGATAAAACAACGGTACCTAGAGCCATCAAAGTTTGCATAATGTACGTGTCCACCCGAATATGGGCATCTGGAAGCTCAAATTTGGAATTTGTTTTATTATCTATTCCATACTTTGTAAAGCATTTATGAGCATTTGATTAAGAAACTCAACGATTTTAAAGCAAGCAATGGCAACACTACGAAAAAAGAAAAAAGAAAACATTTTTATCTTCAGGCGCTACAGATTGTGTATTGAAAATTCTAAAGATATGCTCTTTTTAAATTATTTTGCGATATTGCTGTTGAATTCAATTTTATGGTTTAAGTGCGAAGAACATGATATTTAATAAGTAAAGATAACACACAAAACGTTAAAAATATTTTGATGTAATATTACCACTTTGGGCGTAATATAAAACCTGAAAGCTTTCAGATTTTTTATTTGTTAGCCCAAAAGCCGTTAGCCCTGTTGATTTCGTTTTGGCGTTTTGCGTTGAAAACTTTAAGTGTCTGTTTCACTTTTCAAATTGTTGCCACCAAATATTGTCGCCCTGTTTTCTATCTAAAGAAATTAAATAAAGAAGAATCTTCATAAATGTTTGTATGTTTCTCTCATTCTGATAAAATAACGGTACCTAGATCCATCAAATTTTGAATAAAGTAATCCTTCACCAAATATGGACATCTGGAAGGCCCTAATTTGGGATTTGGAATTTGTTTTATTATCGATTTCATATTTTGTAACACTTTAACGAATTTGTGATTAACAAACTAAGTGATTTCAAAGCGATCAATACAAAACTATACGGAGAAAAAAACTATCTCCAACGCACCAAACTGTGTATCAGAAATTCTAAAGATATGGTCTTTTTAAATTATTTTGTGATATTGCAGTTGATTTGAATTTTATGGTTTAAGTGCGAAGAACATGATATTTAATAAATAAATGTATAACACAAAACGTTAAACAAAGGCCCCTTGGGGGTAATATAAAGTCTGAAAATTTGCAGATTTTTTTTTCCATACAACTTCAGTTATTGCCTCGAATTCTTCACATTTAGATAATCTCCGATTTCTCTATTAGGAAGTAACGTTCTCCATGATCGAACTTGCATGCTTTATCTTTTAAGCACTCAGCATAGCGTTGAATGTGCGTCAGTGGGGAACGCCAAGTACGAATTACCCGTAAACATCATAATCCGCACCTGGATAATCGAGAGTACACTGTAGCTAGAAACATCTAAACACATTCTTAACTTTTAATTATGAAAAGGGAACAAATTATTTATGAAGCTCATAATGTACTTAGTGCAAAATTTCATTTATGAACTGTTTATGAACTGTAAATTATTTGACCAATCCTCCACCATTAGGCACTGAAAACGAATGGATGTGCCTTTTAGCACTTTTTAAGGGAAACTGGCTCACATCCACATTGGGAAAAGCAGAAAACACTTTTTCAGCCATCCATTTCTCCAGGATTCGAACCACGCACCGATCTACCAGTGTTCAACGATATTTTTTATCGCTCGGCCTCTGGCGGGCCTAAGCAAAATATTTGAATGAAGAAAGG